CTCAGGTCATGATCCTGGAGTCCTGGGATCGAGTCCCGCATCGGGCTCCCTGCTCAGCGAGGAGCCTGCTTCTCCCTCTGACCCTCCCCCCTCTCATGTACTCTCTCTCATTCTCACTCTCTCAAATAAATAAATAAATCTTTAAAAAAAAAAGAATAGAAAAAGAGGGGCTCCAGGGGTGCCTGGGTGGCTCAGTCGTTAAGCGTCTGCCTTCGGCTCAGGTCATGGTCCTAGGGTCCTGGGATCGAGCCCCGCATCGGGCTTCCTGCTCAGCGGGAAGCCTGCTTCTCCTTCTCCCACTCCCCCTGCTTGTGTTCCCTGTCTCACTGTGTCTCTCTCTGTCAAATAGATAAATAAAATCTTTAAAAAAAAAAAAAAAAAGAAAAAGAGGGGCTCCAGGGGGCTCAGTCTGTTAGCATCTGACTCTTGGTTTTTGCTCAGGTTGTGATCTCAGAGTCATAGAATTGAGACCCATGTCAGGCTCAGCACAGAATCTGCTTGAGATTTACTTCTCCCTCTCCTTCTGCCCCTCCCCCTGCTTGCACCATGCTTTCTCTCTCTCCAATAAATAGATCTTTAAAAAAAGAAAAGAATAGAAAAAGAAATAGAAGTCATTTACCTTGGGAAGGAAGGAGTAAAACTATTTGCAGATAATATGATTATATAGATAATCCTAATGAATTTACCAAAAATCTCTTGTGATTAATGAGTTTAGCAACATTGCAGGACACGATCAATACACAAAATTTAATCATATTTCTATATACTAACAACGAACAATTGGAAACTGACATTTTGAAAAAGCTCAGATACCAATCTAACAAAATATGTACAGGATCTAAAAACAAACATGAAACAAAGATGACCAAATAAAAATACATTTATTCCATAAAATGGTATAAAAAGAAACCTTTGTAATCTACCACTGTTAACATTTTGGTATATATCTTTCCTGACTTTTATGTATATATTTGGTTAAACCAAAATGGCAGTTTTCATTTGTAACTCCTTTTCTTAAAATGTACTGTGGGGGTGCCTGGGTGACTCAGTTAAGCATCTGCCTTCAGCTCAGTCATGATTCCAGGATCCTGGGATCGAGTCCTGCTTCGGCTCCGTGCTCAGTGGGGAGCCTCCTGCTCCCCCTGCTTGTGCTTGCTCACGCTCTCTCGCTCGCTCTCTGACAAATAAATAAAATCTTAAAAAAAAAAACTTATATTGTCCTCATAGTTCTGTCAATTTCTATTCCAATCAACACTTTCTCTGTAACTTCATTCTTAGCTTTTCTAGAGAAATCTAACCTTAAAATATTCTTCTTGCTTGAACTTCGCCAACCGTGAAATTTATGTTTAATTTTATGGAGCTGTCATGACTTCTTCAGTTTTCTTAGCAATGATCTGTGTTAAATATTTGATAATCCCAAATCATTGATTTCCCAAAGTTCTAGTAATAATTATAATAATAACAGCTACATTTTATTGAGAGCTCACTACTTTTCTGGCACTGTATTAAGCACTTTAAATCTTAATCTTTTTTGATGACAGTTGTTTTCAACTTCATCTTAGAGATGAGGATACTAGGCCTCAGAGAATTAAGTAGCTTTGTACCCAGGCCTAACTCCAGAATTATATTCTTTTTTTTTTTAAGATTTTATTTATTTATCAGAGAGAGAGAGCAGGCACACAAGCTGGGGGTAGGGGCAGAGGGAAAGGGAGACGCAGGCTCCCTGCTGAGCCCAGTGCGGGGCTGATCCCAGGACCCCAAGATCAAGATCATGACCTGAGCCGAAGGCAGGCACTTAACCAGTTGAGCCCCTCAGGTGCCCCCAGAATTATGTTATATTCTTTTTTTTTTTTAAAGATTTTATTTATTTATCTGAGAATGAGAGTGAGAACACGAGAGGAGACAGGGTCAGAAGCAGAAGCAGACTCCCCGCTGAGCAGGGAGCCCGATGCAGGACTCGATCCTGGGACTCCAGTATCATGACCTGAGCTGAAGGCAGTCGCTTAACCAACTGAGCCACCCACGCGCCCCAAATTATGTTATATTCTTAACGACGCTCTGCTGTACTACCTCTCTAAAAGATGTCTTTAACTGTTTTTGATGTAATTTGGTATTGATTTTTTGAAACAAATTAATACTGTTAATTTAGTTCCTGGTAGATGAATATCAGTGCGAGTCAGATAAGTCAGTCTTACCACTTGTCTTTTTGAAAGCTGTAAAACTTTAATTTCAAGGCTTAGAGTTGTATCTTGATAGAACCTATTATCAGGGTCTGTTTTATCCTGAAAACTGGAAAAGTGTATGAATTAATTTGCTAATAACTAGAATGTTATTCAGAGAGCAACAGTCCAAATGATGAAATTTTTCGTGATGAGAGATTCGCCCCTGTAGATTTCGTTTTTGGCATTGCCTTTCACGTCCCCAGTAGTAGTATGGATGTGGTTGCTCTTCCTTCTACTTTATTTAAGCTTGAGTCTCATTGCCTTAAACACCAAAGGATCCCAAAGGAAGATCATTTTATTTGACTGTATGAGTTTTATAATTCTGAGTTCAAAATCTTGTTTTGAGGTACATTACATTTTTGAAGTTCTTCACATGTTTATTGTTTAATTTTTTAAGTTATACAAAATACAGATAGGTTGTAGTTAGAATCATATGCTTCATTAAAGAAAGTTATTCAGGCGCCTAGGTGGCTCAGTTGGTTAAGCGACTGCCTTCGGCTCAGGTCATGATCCTGGAGTCCCTGGATGGAGTCCCACATCGGGCTCCCTGCTTGGCAGGGAGTCTGCTTCTCCCTCTGACCCTCCCCCCTCTCATGTGCTCTCTCTCTCATTCTCTCTCTCTCAAATAAAT